AGTCTGAGAATTACTGCATATTCTAGAGAGCTAAACAATGCTCTGCATAGCTCCTCGCATAGTGGTGGCAACATTTGTAATTGGGTCTACCCAACGACTGGCCCATATTGGAACTAATTAATCCATGGCTTCTGTTGGGAATAACTGCTCATGTTCAAGCCTTCTGAATATCCTGAACCTTTGCTGTCTGACATGACTGGCAGACCCACTTTTCATGATACCTATGCCTTGTACCATGACTGGACTATGGAGATCTGCGTTGTCTTGGTTTTAGCCTCTTTCTTATGCAAGCCCTTATATTTTTGTAAATATTACTGTTGCATATTCTCCCTGTTGTTTATTGTAGTTATTCACAAAACTAAATAAACTGCTTGAAAATTAATGTGTGTGAATTCAGCCTGGAACAAGACAAAATTCCTGTGTGACAATTTCATATACGCTCATTTTCTTTTTGAAAATTGTTTCTATTTTGCTTTGGCAGTTTCTTATATTCACCTCTCTGCAAAATATTTTTTCATTCAGCTGGGTTGCAGGAGATTAGATTATAAATTATCAGTAATTTCCAATGTACTTTGCATATAAAAAAACCTCTAGAGACAGAATTTTTTTACATGCAAGTCAAATATGGTTTTCCAGATTTTTGTGGAGGAACATACACAGCTATTAGGAGAAATGAGGAGAACTCACGTGGAGAATAAAATGGCTATATATGATAGTTATATCTTGAGGCCAACTGTTTTTTTGATATATAAACATAATCCTCCACCCTTCATTTTACCTGATGTATCTTCAATTCTGTCTGATCTAAATATCTGAACTCCTAGGATGTATATGCTGTTGTCATGAATTTCTGCATTAAGCCAGGTTTCAGTAAACAGAGAACTGAGTTGTAGAAATCAGAATTGCATCTATTTAAAAGAAGTATTTCATCCATCTTGTTAGTAAGTGATCGTAAATTAGTCAGAAAGATTGAAAGGAGAGGAGTTTCCCCTCCCCCCTATTTCTTAGACTATTTAAAAATCCCGCTCTTTTACCTGGTCTCCTTTTTGGTGCTGCTGTTTCTTTCCTTTGTTGTAATCCTAGTATGATTTGATTGCTTATTGTACCCTATGACTATTATTAAGTGTTGTACCTTATGATTCTTGACTCATGTATCTTTTCTATTATGTACACTGAGAGCATATGCACCAAGACAAATTCCTTGTGTGTCCAATCACACTTGACCAATAAAGAATTCTATTCTATTTTATTCTTTCATGTTGTTCCTAAGACACCTCTTATTTATCAGTTTCCCAATTTTACTCATCAATGAGCCATTTCCCGCATAGGCAGAGGTTCTGCTCACACGGCATTGAGGAATAAAGCATTAAGGAGAAAATATGATCACAGATACTTTAGCTGTATTCAAATTCAATAATTCTAATAGTAGACAGCTGTGATTAGAACTACTGTTTACTATAAGAGGAAGGTAATATATTCCAATTTTTTCTGCCCATTTCAAGTCTCTTGTTAAAAAGTCATTTTGATGGAATTGAACTAAAATTTTATTTTGCAGAAAAAGGAACATTCTGTTGATTGTTACCTCTAGTTGTATGACACAGCTTACTGTGAGTTTGGTTTAATGTTAAACCAACACAATTGCTGGCTATGTGGTTATGACACACATAACCTCACCCATGATCCAGTTAAAGTGTTGAACAGGATAACATCCAAGAATGCTTTTTTTTGTCACTTGTTACTTGACCCTCTGTTCAGTTCTAAAAAACATAGAGGAACACACTGGACTTGGAGAAGAGATTACATACTCCACAGCAGACCTGGGCATTTTATGGCCTCCAGGCCACAACCGGCCCTTTGGGGCCGTAAATAACTGCACAGCAGAGGATGGGAAAAGAAACTGAGTCGGGTCCAGCCCTGTGCAATTGTTGTGCATTCCTTCAATTGGCTGGTGGCTACAGGAGGGCAAGGAGAAAAAGTATTTTTCTGTGCCTGCGCAGCACTTATTCCTAAGAACCCAAGGAGTTGAAGTGACGGAGTTTGTGGACATAAGATCAGGTTACATTGATTTGGCCATCCACAGCAATTCGTTTCTCATGAGGCCCTTTGAGAAAATTAATTGCCCACCCCCTGCTCCAAAGACTGAAGAAAGTGTGGAATAGAATCACAAAATAGCCCCCCTTTGATTTGTTTGGTACTAGATGATACAAACAGGAACTTGGACAGGCATTCAAGATAAGGCTATTAATGCCCTATTACAAGGAAGTAGCAATTCTGGAATCTCTATTATCTGTTTCATGACCTGGCCTACTTAAAGAGACTGTCATATTCTTAGATTTCCTGTAGAGAAAGGAGTGAAAAGAAGGCTGCTTTATTGGGAGACTACTGTTTCTAAAACTTCACAGCAGTTTTTCAAGTATGAGTTTTCACCATGTTTGCTTTGAATTAACTGTAAGATAGAAAGATGTGCCCTGATGGTGCCCTGATCTCTTCCATGTTCTACACTTTTGACCAAATCAGGTTGGGTCATCCTTTTTAGGGATGCATCTCACTCCCCAAACAAGAGAATACCTACAGATTCATCTGCACAAGTTGCTGTTGACCGTATTTTTGCTTCTTCCAACCAAGTTATCCCTTGGTCTTCCAGAAACCCATTGGCATCAATATTAGCAGAATATTATAGAAGCTCTCAGGAGCATGGCAAGAAGTTGATTTGCAGTTCTACTGATAAGAGTTGTAAGTGTAAAATTAAGTATAGAAACTTCTAAAATGCTTGTCAAAGCCAATTTAATCTCTGAGATGAAAATATTCCTATCCTTTATATATGTGACTAAACCATTTTCTTAGTCTTAATACATATTTACTATTTGTAGTTCTGCCAATCTCATTAGATAGACCAGATCAGGAAATCAATCCCCAAGAAGCTAAAATTACTTTGACTGAGATTGTCTGTAATGATAGAAACTTGCAAATCTTATTGGGCTCTATTTACTTCTCTTTCTTGTAGTTCAGTGAATTATGGAACCATTTATCTGACTTACTCCTCAATATTAACTCCTTGTTCTGGACTTAAAAAAACACTTCAGCTCCTTTTGCCTGGGCAATGGTTCCTGCTTATCTCTGTCAAGATCATTTCCCATACTTCTGACATTAGGAAGCCCCCAATAAGAAGCACATGTGTACTAGATATTTAATGTAAGCAAGTTCCAATAAAGGAAATGAATGAAAATACTAGCTCTGCCTCTCTCATTTGCCTCGCCAGCAAGAGGCACTCATTTTTCAGGTTATCAGTCAGGAGTATGTCTATGGAGATTCCCAATCACCCAGGTCATGGTAATCCCAAAGGTGCTTTTTCAAGGGGGAACTAGACTTTCCAGAAAGTCCAGTTGCTTCTTGAAAAAGCACCTTTGGAACAGTCAGGAATAGCACTTTTGCACAGCATTTCTAGTGGAAAAACATGTGCTGACAATATGAAATCATGAAATTATCTCTGAGACATGTATTTTAATCTTGTTCTGAAACATATACCAACTGATTTTAAAACATGCTGTAAATTGAGAACTATGTAAAATAGAAACATTTAGGTATTAGATGATCCCATGGGAGCTGTACATGTGTATAGCACCTAACATTCAGTTTTGAAGTAGGAAAAGAAAGAACTTATAGAATATGATAAATCTACTAAGAGACAATAGTTAACCAATACATTTATTCAGAAATATAGTAAAAATATGTTACTATATTTACTATACTGTCTTGGAAGTTGTAGTTCAATAGCACCTTGAAAGCTACGTATTGCTTATCAATACATCTAAAAACCAAACTAATGGTAACAGCTTTATTATATGTCAGCAACTCTGTATGATGTTAAGTACAATGCAAAAAAGCAGTTTTATCTGTCTTTTCAACAGTATCTGACTAGATTAAGAGGCTGAGATCCTCTTAGAATCTTTTCTATTTAAAAGCATTATGTTATGTGAGCTGGAGACCAAATAGATTTATTGGATTGCCATTAAGAGAGAGGCAAATAGTTACATTTTCTATAAGCAACTTCTTATATATTTTTGTCATCCTTAATTTGACAATTAATTGAGATTATTAGTCTTACACAAATATTTTCAGCTTTTATTCATATCCCATTTTTCCAACCATGAAAATTTTACACCTACACAAAGTGCAACTCTGTATAAGAAATCATAAGACAAAGATTTTGTCATATGAATGGGTATCAATGTAACTGAGGTCTACTGAAGAACAAAATATTTTATTTTTATTTTTTATTTATTTTTGTCAATTGCTTATAAGATAATAGGTATAAGTAAAAACATAGTTATGAATACATAGATACATATAAGAAAAATAAAAAATAAAAGAAACAATAGGACAGGGGCGGTAGGCACGTTGGTGCGCTTATGCACGCCCCCTACAGACCTCTTAAGAAAGGGGTGAGGTCAATAGTAGAAAGTCTAAGGTTAAAGTTTTTGGGGTTTGGGGAAGAAACCACAGAGTTAGGTAGAGTATTCCAGACATTGACCACTCTGTTGCTGAAGTCATATTTCCTGCAATCAAGTTTGGTGCGATTAACCTTGAGTTTGAATCTGTTGTTTGCTCTTGTGTTGTTATAGTTGAAGCTGAAGTATTCATTGACAGGTAGGATGTTGCAATGTATGATTTTATATACTATAGTTAGATTGGACCGAAGGCGGCGTAGTTCTAGGTTTTAGAATTTCGAGTCTGGTGGCATAAGGTATTCTGCAATGAGTAGAGGAGTGGAGAACTCTTCTTGTGAAATATTTCTGGACTTTCTCAACTGTGTTAATATCAGATACGTAATGTGATTTCCAGACTAATGAGCTGTATTCGAGTATTGGTCTAGCAAATGTTTTGTATGCTCTAGTTATTAGTGTAATATTACCAGAGAAAAAGGTATGTAAGATTAGGTTAACAACTCTTAACGCCTTTTTGGCTATGTAGTTACAGTGGGCTCTAGCACTTAGATCATTAGCACGTCCATTGTATTTTTACAGAAGAGAGCAAACACATACAAAGAAATGCATTCTTACTTCATTGTAAATGAAAATGTAAACATGTTGAATAAAATTTGACAATGACAAAAGAGAAAAAAAGGAAAGTATTCATGAAATTTTATGTTAAGAACCTGAAAGCCATAGCTGTATCTGGTTCTGATAGTCAATGTCCTTCGTTAAAAAATTTGGCGTGATTATTTATCATCTTTATGTTAACAGTCATTTAAGAATTCATCCAGCCTCACTATCACTGCTGCTCCATGCGTCTTCATATGCAGAATTTAAGCACTGCTTAGAAGGCAACTAAAAAATAAAGGAAAAAGGGATTACAATTATGGAAAATTAACTTGTGAATGGATTCTGTCTCTATATATCCCATGACAACCATCATGAGGAATAATTATATATAAGTAAAGGCGGGCTTATGACCAAGATTACCAGAAACTACTCATGTCAATTAAGTGAAAGTAAAATGCTTCTTATTTGCTTTAAAATCCTTTCCTTAAGAATAGCAGTTAAGAAGCTACAAACAAGTCATGCTTCAGCCAATATTTTCCATTTTGCATGTGTTTTATCCAATACCTTAACTTTTCTGCATACTGAAAGGATAAGAAATAGAAGCCATGCCCTTGTCTGGAATGTAAAGGACACACATTTCTAAATATTGAGCCTGTTTCCCTTGTCTTAGTACAAATATAATGAACTTATAGAATCAATCCAATCACACCTCAAATCAGTACAAGATGAGACAACAACTTGCCCTAAGGAGCTATAATTAGCTATCATCCCATTTGTGACAAGTCCTTGTTGCTTACTAAAAAAGCAGACAAGCATTTTTCCTTTCATGTCCTTAGTTATTCTCCAGTTCCAACTTTGCTACAGTTAAAGTTGTTTACCTTTTCAGAATAAGTATCATCAGGTTCTGGTTCCCTCAAATATGGCACCCAAGCAAGAATATTACCATCTCTGCCACTGCTATAAAGTTCCTGCCATTAAGAAACAAACAAAATAATGTTAAGTATTACTGAATAAGGAAAGAGGATAGTCTGACACTATCCTTGCATCTGGGTACCTCAGCTACATTAGCCACTTCAATTGGGTTGACTGGGAAATATTATTCAGAAATACGTTCCAATAAGCTCAACAAGTTTTCCTTCATGATAAGCTAATTTTCTGTTCTCCTAAGTTACAACTGTACAGACAAAAAAGAATTAAGAGGATTGATTTGATCCAGAAACTATATAAAGGCCTGTATAGGCCAAGAATAGGCTGTCTAAAAAATTGTAACATGTATGGCTAAACAATTTGGAAGGCATCCTTCTCTGATCTCGCCACTGTTTAATGGAAATATGAGCAAAGGCCTTTTGGTACCTTCTTCCAGGCTTTGAAACACTTGGCAAAGAAAAGTACAGCTAATTTCTCTGTTATCCTGCTGCAGACAGTACTGCAGGCTACTTTTGCTGACTGCCAGCTGCCCATAATTTGGCAGTTCGAATCTCACCAGGGTCAAGGTTGACTTAGCCTTCTATCCTTCTGAGGTTGGTAAAATGAGGAGCCAGATTGTTGGGGGGCAATATGCCGACTCTGTAAAACAGCTTAGAGAGGGCTGGAAAGATTGCTATCAGTGTATAAAGTGGCTTGAATGCTAGGTTGGGTAATCAGTTATATCATTTTTTTTAAAAAAATATTGATTTTTAAACTCTGATAATTGTTTTTTAAATATTACTGTATTATTAGCTATCGTATTTGTTGGTGAAAAGATTATACATAAAGCTAATAAATTTGAAATAAATTTGTAATGAATTGAAATAAATTAAAATAAACATGGTCATTTATTCATTTCTGCCTTGAGGTCACAGAGACCCCCTTGTTATATTGGATTACAACTTGAATCACTTCTAGAATTATAAAATGTGTACTCCACTGAAGGACCTTTCCATTTAAGGAAAGAACTTCTTAATGACTAATGGGACAAACCTTTCAAGCTATGCCCACAAAACAAGTTCAGAATACCGGTACTATTTCTCATGCTCCATAGATGTTGGCCTTGAAGGATAAACTATACAAGAGTCATAGTCAATATTACAAAGAATTTTAATTACAATTCTTCCTCTCTGCCCCCATTATCTCCTTTATTTAGGAATGTCTCCTCTGAGCCCCTTGCCCTGCCCTTTCAACAGAGCAGCTGCAACAGTTTTTAAAGATGTTTTCTTAAGGACTGTTCTTGGCTGTAGAAATGATGGGATAATACTTCCAAAAAAGGCATCCTATGACAAGTCACATTTATTTCTAAATTAGCATCTTTATTCCACGTTTCATATAATAATCTAAAAATACGTTCTGTGGATTCTGAAAAAAAAAAACAACCAAAACACTGCAAAAACTAAAATTTTAATTAGGGAAATGTGGATGCATGAAAAGCCACAGCATTACTAAAATTGATCCCCATCTTGAATTAACTGTGTCCCAGTCTTTCATTTTTCAGAATGTTTAAAATGTGTGGTCAGAAACTGCATCAGTTTGCATTTTATACAAAGTTTTTAGAAATGCTTCTTCTACCAACATTTTCTAATCTACATGAATAATAAATAAGCTTGAGATGTTGATCTCCAATGACTTGCAAAGTGAATGTCATCAATGCAATGCAAAAATACAATTTAACATTTGTAAAGATTTCAGGAATGATGTTAACCTCCATAAAGCACATTACAATAAGTCAAGTGTCATTATGATTATTTAAAGCATATTCAAAAATTCAATTGTCTAGACCTAATGGCTATAAGACTAAAGCTTATAATTTTTCATTATACATTTGCCTAACTGAGAACCTTGCCTTAATTTTTGTACTAGCATTATTATAATGCTGACATGCTAGACTGCTCTAAAGACAGGAAGCTGCTTTAAATCAGATCAGACTGTTAGGCCATCTAGTTCAGTATTAGTCGATCTGATGAGGCGCGCTCAATGGGATCTCAGGCATAATAAGTCTTTTTTTTGTTTTGAAACTTCAAAGGTAGAATCTGGGTCCTTCAATATGTTTAGCTTAAAATAACAAAGATCATGTAATCCCTTAATTTGGGGTAAAGTTGGGGCGACTAGATGAAGCCGGGTGCCCTTCCTGATGTCACATGGAGTTTGAAGCAAATATTATTTTCTTTGCACCCTAGGAGAAAAACACCTGCCACTATCTAGCATTGAACTCTCAACTTTCTGAGCGGGGGGCACCACTAGGCCTCCATGCTGCTCTCAGCTGAATCCTTCAATATACTAGTTGAGTTTCCTAACATAACCTCTTAAATATATAACAGAAAAATTCTTGCACAAATGAGAGCTGCTGCTAATGGAAAGGGATAATCTTAAAGAAATACGTCATTTGGCTATTAACCATAATCGCTCAACTGAAAACCCATGTACAGAAATAGTCATTCTCTTACTATACTTCACATGCTAGAGAAACAACATGGAGAGACTGTCATAGAGACAGTGCATCATATTCAATCTCAAAGTGAAAAACTGAAAGGCTTTGCCTTCTTCATCTGAAGTTCACTTGAATTCTACTTCGTATAATCCTTCTAGGGATCATGTATTCAACATAGCTCAGTGTTTTAAGGAAAACTTGTTTGGTGTCATGTTTAACTAACCTAAAATTCTCCAGACAGCTTCACTTACCTGAAAATTAGGTTGAAAGACACAGCAGTCAACCGAACTATAATGTCCCTTAAGTGTAGTTATTAGGTCTCCTGAATAAATTGTGTAAACAGCAACAGTGCTACTGCACGGCACAAATGCAAATTCAGAACTGCAGCCACGTGATACAGTAAATCTGAGTCCTTTTTTGCTTTCATTGCTCACCTTCCCATAATTTACCTGTAAAGATATAAGATAAAAAAATTAATCTTTAATATAAGATTAAAAAAAGCAACCATCCAATGGTTTGTTAAATTTTAAAAGAGGTTATTTCCTATTGAATGTATTCTGCTGTAAAGAATACAGTCCTTTCCTACTCCACAATAGCATTTATCCGATTTTAGGCTTGAATAACTCAGATCTACTTCATAACTCTTTAAAATAGAGAGGTAATCTTTTGGTAACTGAAGGCTACAATGGGTAAGAGTGTACCCAGAGTAGGAAAAAGAATCAAACAGATAATTTTGTGTCTTTTTTTTTGGGGGGGGGGGGGGGGGGGGATTATCCCTTCCCTCTTTTGTGTGGCAGGGACCATTTCACAATTTTCTCTGTTAATTATTCTTGGACTTATGAAACATATATGTTATTAACTCACCTGATCTCGTAAATGAAAGTTACACTAGTATTCTCTAATACTGAAGTAACATCTCTTATGCCTGATGTTTCTCAGCAACATTCAGCAAACCCGATTTTGAATCTATAGGAACCTGGATACCAATGGTTCTCCAAGTTTTAAGTCTTGTCACCCCCAGTGTAAAAATCTTGTATTAATGTCATTATGTATGTAGGATTATTATATCACTTGCAATAGGATTGTCCTAATGTTTCAAATATTGGAGATTACATCTGATAACAAGTTATTAGTATTATAGACAGCACGTGGCTTCCTTTTTTAAAATAGCAATTCACTACAGTTGCATTAGTTTATATTTTTAAGAATGTCATTCCCTCTTATCACCACATCTGTGAAATTCAGGATTTCTTTTTCTCTGCAAATAGAATGTGTGAGAATAAATATATAAGAAATATTATGAATATTGGAATGACTAGAATGTCTTTTGTGCTATAACTTATTCATTATATGTAGGATGAAGATATGATAATGATTTCCTATAACTTGTATATGTATGTTATGTTGTTAAGTATGTTTGGCATGATGATGTTTAATCTAATATCTAAATCTGCTGGTAATATTATGGCATAATTACATTTGGTTTAATCAAAATCTTTGGTGTCTATTTAACTTTTTCCCTCTGTATCCCAAGAAACTAAATTAAAGGATATACATTTAAATTGCACAAAGAACAAATAAGGCTGTAACCATATATATGAAAATTCCCACTTAAATCAATGGGGCTAACTACTAAGTAGATACTGATAGGCTCAACATATAAACATTAATAATTATTTTGAGGATGCGTTCTATATATGTTTATTTGGAAGTTCTGAATGTTAACTTTTGGAACCAACAGCAGATATACTAATGTGGGAAAGGCAAATCAGAAATATTTAAGTGTTGTGTTACATTATATATTATATGTAAGCCCCTATAGTGATGAACCTTTTGATATCTTGTAATGATAAGTTAGCAGGAAATTGCCCTGATAAAGCAATTCAGATCTGTTTAGATTTAAACTCAACAATAGATAATACCAGTGAGAATTGACAGAAGAAATTTATTTTGGTTACCAATGAAATAAATAAGTAGCTTGGAGGCATATAAATTCTTTGGATAAGCAACCATCTTGGGATACCAGAGAACATTTGCCTAAATCCATATTAGAAATCTTTCTTTGTCAGAGGAACATGTTCTAGCCCTTTTAAGAAGGTAAGAGTAAGACTTTTGTTTAAACAAGGGTTATTAACTATCATCACTGTACATTTCTGACAAGTCTCAAATCAACCCTTTTTGAATCAAGTCTTAGACTACGTGGTGACATCAAAATCTCAGGTTTTCTTGGCTGAAGCTGATTACCTGGATCCATTTTAATTCAGACATATGTCCAGATTTGGAATAAATATTTTAGATCATTTTTCTTAACAACAAATGAAATTGGTCTTCTTGTATCTTAAGAACATTATGCTTCTTTTATATACTGGGATGACAGAGAAGAGGAGATATTTTCATCTTCTTCTATCAGATACCCCTCCCCAAACTTAAACATGTGTTTTTATATGCCTATCTCAATATTTTATTCCCAAAGCTAAACAATCTCAATTATTTCAAACTCTCTTCATAAGACTTATTATCCAACTTCCTGATCACCTTTATTAACTTTTATTTTAGCTTCTGAAAGTGTCAGATCTAAAAATAGACACAATGCTCAAAATGAAAAGTGAAGGAGAACAATTGCTTCCTTATCTACAATCATTTATAATTACACATTTTTAGAATAAAAGATAATTTCAAAATACATTTTCATCAGCTGACAAAAAATATGTATTTAGATTACATCTGTTAGTACACCCAGAGATGTCCATGGGTGAATTAGACAAAAGGAGACTACATTAACACGTCATAACAAGTGCCTTTCTTGGACTATACTAACATGCAGAGCTTTAAACAAAAAACGAAGTGGAAGTTGGCATGAAGAAATAAAAATTTTTCCTTGTGTAGCCTTGCAGATAATTTTCAGGCATAAGAACCACTCACCAGTTTATAAATCTTTTTATGTAGTTTGAAGTTTTTAAAGACAATTTAAAATAAAATGCATATTTTCATTAAACGAATTGGGGGGAAAGGGTTCTTATAACGCACATCAACTTAGAGCACTTTGGCAATACAAAGGAAGGTTAAAATGCAGCTGCTCTTTCTACAAGTAGTAGCTAAGAAAAGAACAGCATTAGTCAGGAGAGTTTACTAAAGCTTAATAATTTACCATCACACTAAAAAGTGTGGACTAAGGCACACAGCAGAGATAATCCTGCAACTAGTTCTCTTTTATGTACAACAAAAATATTTTAAGAATGTAAAACAGGAGGGGAGCGAAAAGATTAATGAACTGATAAGAGTGCCTTGGTAAACAAATAGCCTGAACTATCAAATTTAAATAAAGAATACTTTAGTCTATATATTTAGCAGAATGGAGAGTAAAATAAAAAGTGGCTATGCAAGCTTGTGCAAAAGTATGTCTGACAGTAGAAAATTATCCTCATCCTATTGTCCCAGTACTATTTTGCTCCTGAGTGCAAGTAAATATTATGCTGGAAAATACTGAAAAACTATTATCTAATGTCTCACGATAATGGGGCATTTGACAGAACAGAGGTCAATTCAGCCTCCCAACCTCCAGAAAAGTCACAGGAACTCCTCTGGAAATGTGGCAGTGTAACCAGAAAGGAATCAAAAAGGTTCAGCATGTACTGTAGTGTGTGTGCTTATGTGTGTTATATGCAATTTGCTTGGTTTTAGGAAGTGAGGCAAACTGTTTCCCTTCTCTAAACCTAAAATGCCTCAAAGTACTACTTTTCTTAACACTGTCAGGCTGTTTTTTATTGAGTTGGTAGACTAAGGAAGTAATTGATTCCTTTCTGGTTACACTGCCACATTTCCAGAGGACTTCCTGT